TATGAATTGCGTTATAAATATTGAAAGTTAATGATATTTTACAAAGAATCTTTCACCAAAAATACATAGAAGTAAAATATTTATAATTTTATCTCTGTTTTTATTTAAAGAATTTGAGTGACATTATTTTTTGTACACAAAGTCGTTTCGCTGGTTATTTTTTAAAAGTAAGTTATTTATTTTTTGGAAAAGCAAATTATAGTTAAACGTCATGGAATTTTTTCTACTATAATAATAATAGATTCTGCGTCCCGCAAATTTCTTAAATATCACATAGGGGATGAGATAGAAATCAAAATATTTTCTCGTGATGCAATAATATATCATTTTATTAAACTTTTTACATAAAAAAAAAAAAAAAAAAAAAAAAACTAATTTATTTCATGATCCTTTATGATAAGCCGCAACTTCTAATAAATTCGTATCGCAAATATGTGTTTGCTTGTTTAAAGGTGTTTTTAAGTAAAAAGTAGCAACTTATTTCCTAACAAAATTGATTCATAAAATTAATAATTACTATAATAACAAAGACCCAGAATAACAAATACGGCTACCATTTTTTTTGGGCGACAGCTATGTAAGTCCGACTTTGTCAGTCTTATCATGTGAAATTAATTGATCACCTAGCGTTTCGGAAAGACGATTTGACAATGTCCGTTTTCTAGCGAAATTACGAAATTGCCCGCTATATTCAGCCCGCAGCCAATAAGAATCTTCACCGATCAAACTTAACAAAAATGAGAGTTTTTTGTAATAATTTTTTCCTTCAATAAAAAATTTTAAATTATGCAATTAGCTCACGAACTTTCAGATTTCCAGGACGGTAAAGAACGCATTATAGTTTTAAAGATTCGAGCATTCTCGAAAACGAAGGTAACTTTTATTTAGAGAGTTTTTTAACTTTACGAGCTCTTACTTATTGTTTTTTATTACAGAAGAAGGTGATCAGCTAGTTTTTATACAGATTGAAGAACAACAAAGACTCAAAAAGAATTTAGAAAATAAAAAGAAAAAACCTATTTATACTGGTTACGATGACGAAGAATTTAATTTTGTTGGAGGAAAATATCTAAAAAGAATATTTTATCACATTATGATGAGGAAATCGAAGGAAATAAGAGAACTGTATATAATTTCTTTAATTAATTTAATATCAATTAAAAACTTGATCTATAATTTTTATGGGTTTCATGGTAGGTAGTGACGGTACTGTTCAATTAAATGAATATGAGCGAAGGAATGAGTAGCGGAGAAATTAAAGTCGAGGCCGATTTCTTTGTCTTACAATAGTAATATCATTTATATATTATAATTAGTTCTTATTCTCTTTTATTTTATTTTAATTCCATAGAGATGATTGAAATTAGATTATTATACAGCTGAAGTCACTTTCAAGAAATTAAAAGTATGTCATTACTTTTTAATTTATTTTATAAAAAGAGAAACCAAAAATTCATTAACCAAAGTTAACATCAGTTTATGAATAATAGACTATAAAGAAGAAAAAAGTAAGAAAGAAGGTTGCTGATAATGATGACTTATCTAGGATGAGTGTTGAAGAAATTGCCAGAAATTGTATGTAATTCATCATTATGATTTATTATTCAAAAATTATTATATAAATATTGGATCTCTATTTATAGTAACAAATATTAAGGAAGAGCCTTATGAAGATGATAAGATGCCTGGTGAAGGATTAGTTATTTCTGACATATCAGAATTTGTTAAATCGCTTATCATTGCTCCAATAATAATCAAACCTGTTGAGATTGAACCAAAGCCAATTCAACTGGTTAACCAAAACTAGTAGAGAAGATAGTAAAGCTGATGATATTGAAATAGATAAACTGTTAAGAAGAAAAAAAAGGGTGGTTGAAAAGAAGTAGATAATGTAGAAAATAATATATAGCTAATATTCATAATGAATCAAAATTAGTAATTTACATTTATTATTATAATATAGGTATCTAATTATCTTTTTTTTTTATTAAAATCTATCTAGATCAGTAAAGTTGAATAAAAGCCTTTAGTTCATAGTAGGATGGCAATAATATTGACCCTTTTATAACAAAAAGGTAATTTCTCAATCAATTTATTATCTAATTAAAATATTATTATTTTATATTTAAATTTTTTAATTAATTCAAATAAAGAATAACTTGAAAAGGAATTTATTCAGAAAGAATAACATAAATGGCTTGCTAAATAATATAAAAAAGATCTAGAAAAGATAGATAAACAAGAGAAAGAAAATAACAGATAGAAAAAAAGAATATTACAGTAGTGATCAAGCTAGTGAAACCAGTTATCAAGATTGTGAGTACTTGTAAAAAATAGAAATAAGATTCAGAGATTATAAACTAAATATTAATTTAGAATATATTGATAAGTTTAATAATCAACTAACATCAAAAAAGCATTTCAACAATTGTCTCACAATTTCCATAAAATTTTCAGAAAAAATCAAGATAAAAAAATATCTTAAAAAGCTTGAAGAAAAATGTAAACTAAAGGCTATATCTATCTTCTGACTAGTACAATGTCAAATTTCATGATCTGTATAATTGTATTATAATAAAGTATAAGTTAATTATGTTTATATAAAAAATTTTATATGTGTATTTTAGTAAATTATATAACAATATTATTCAAAATTTTGAAGTTGTTTCTTTTATACTATTTTGTATTAATAAATTTTATAAAGTATATTGTTCAGATAATTAAGCTAATTATAAGTAATTATGAATTATTAATTTTTTAATTGGATTCTCAGTAACTTTATTCAGTTGATATGATAATTAAAAATGTATCATAATATTTTCTGTTATTTATTTATTTATTCTTTTCAATAAACATTATGGTAAAAATCAATTCTGTATAACAATCAATTCTAAACAATAACTTTTTTTATTCTTACTTTTATTATCTATTGAATTATTATAATATCAGTAAGTAAAGAAATATAGCATAGATTTTTATAATTTCTGCAAAATTCAAAACTAAATGTAAGATAATATATTTAATTACTATGATATTATTTGAAAATTTATTTCAAGTATTGCATAAATTATTATTTTCTTTCTTTTGTTTTAATTAATTTTTTTAATAGCAAATTAGCTAGCAAATAATAAAAGATTAAAAAATTTCTACTTATCATAAATTTTTTTCATCACATATTAATACAATATAATAAATCTTATAAAGTAATTATTATAATAAAACTGATAAAATTTTTAAGAAAAATAAATATATTTTTATTTTATTTAAAATATTATTATTATTAAAACTAGACCTGTAGAAAAAATTTTTTCTGATAATACAAATTAAAATTTTCAATTTTGAATAAGATGTAAGTTTTATAATATAGAATAAAAGAAATTTGTATTTGTATTTTTGAATAGTAAATACTCAAGAAAAAGTGATTATATAAATTTAAAGATTGCAATTTTTATAATTTCATTATTTAAAATTGCTTTAACATATTTTATTAATATAGATATCAATAACAATATAGAAATTAGAACTGGTTAATGATCATCTTAGTCATTCACATTAAATCACATTAATATAGATTAATATTTAATAAATTGAAATATTTGTATTAAATTTTAAATTACTTATTTATATGTAAAAATTAATTAAATTTAAGCCTTTTTAACAATCTTTTTTACTATAAATTAGCTTTTAATTCTTCACTTTTTTACTATTTTATATATTATCTTTTAATTTGAATGTTTAGAATATTTATGATAAATAATAATATTTGGAATTATTTTTTTAATACAGTACTAGAAATTAATAGTATCTTTGATGATATATTTACTAGTTTTAGTAGAGTTATCTTAATAGTCTCTCTAATAATCCTTTAATAGTATTATCTTCAATAGTTTTTTGTAATAAAAATCAATTATATACAGAAAAATAAGTGAATCAAATAAATCAAAATGTAAAAATATTAAAACTAGTTAAGTATAATCTAGGAAAATGAGTATAATATATATTAAATTCAGATTATAAATATGCAAAATAAAGAGATTAGAAATTTTTGCATGATAGATCTACAGAAAATATGACAAACAATCTTTGTAAAAAACATAACATTTATAAAAGAATAAATAAAGTAATACCATTTTTTTTAATAAAACTATATTTGTATGTAAATCATTTTTTAATTAATGCATACTGATCAACATTCAAATTTATTATATTGAAAGACTGCATAATTGATATTTATTAGAGTTTTTCTTTTTTCTAATAATAGATTATAAAATCATACCTTTATCAATATTAAGCAAAATTTTGCTAGATGTTTGAAATAAAAATATAAAAGAATGAAAAGAATTAACTTACAAATCATTTAACACTATAAATTAATAAGATAAAGTTTTTAGTTATTTGCATTATTAGTTATATTTAATAAAACTGAATGATATTATCTTTCTATTTCAATTCAAAAATCTTTTATAAGAAAATTACAATACTATACTGTTCAGCCTGTATATTCTTTATAGAATTGAATTTAATTACCACTACTTTATTTTACAATTAGTATTTTTTCATTTATACAGAATTTTTTTTAAGTTATATTTTAAATCATAATCATTGATATATCAATTCAAATTTCTGTTCAAGATAAATGAAAAATTTCTGATTAATTTTTACAAAACATATTCTTCTTAAATTAATTTATATTACTTAATTGAAATCACAAAATACTAAGTCATTTATTTTAAATATTAAATTAATGAATTGAATGTCTAGTTTTTCATAATTTTAGCAGATAAGTTCTTAGAATTCAAAAGTTATAATAGAAAAAAAATTTATACTTTATTTGTCTTATCTGAACTTTTAAAATTTCTGCTAAAACTTCTAAGTCATTTAATTGTGAAAAAAATGCTAAATGCAAAAAAAAATAATAAAATTTCTTCTTACTTAAAGAAACTTTAAAATTAAATACAACAAAATTCTAGCATATTTAATGTATTATAAAATATACTTGTTCTTAGTCAGATATACAGTAGATTAGTTTTTCTTGAATACTACATAAAGTTGATTAAATCTTTAGGTCAAATAAAAAATTAATTTTGATTAATTATTAGAATATCAGTAATAAATATCATAATTTGAGAAAAATTGCTAGGAAAATCTATTTTTTAACAAATTTTTATTTTTGTTACATTTTAATTCTTGATATTTTAATTAAAATATAAGATATTTTTCTTGCAAAGCATAAATAAAAAAGAAAAATTATATTATTTTAAAAATTTTGCTAATATTAAAATTCAGATTATAGCAAGTAAAAAACAAGTTTTATTTTTTGTGAAATGTGATGATCTTCTAACAAGTAAAATTCTTATTTTATAAAACCAATTTATTGTAACAAAATGTCAAACTAATTTTTAAAATATTCTGTATGCACATAAATATTTTATGCTATTATTTTTTCTATTTATGATGAATTTTTAATTTTAAATAAAAATAATAATAATAATGTCTTAACTTATTTAAGATTACTAAATATTAAACTAGAAATCTTTCAAATTATTTTAAAGTAAGTGAAATTGTTATTGTATATAATTTTAATATAAAAATATTATTTTTTTTGATATAAATATATATATTGTGAAGTTTTTTTATTAATGAGCAAGATGTTTTAGATATCTTTATACTTTTAATAGCTGTTAGTGAGTTGCTTTTTCAAGAACTGATTGATTATTTACAAAAGTATTTAATTGATAATAAATCTAAATGGATAAAATAACATTTTGAGCTTACTTATTAAGCAGGATTTTAATCTAATAATTTATTAAAACTTTAAAAGTTTTGTATAGATTAATATCTAAATTACTTAAGAAAATATTTAAATCAAATAATTTTACTTTATTTCTTGAAAAAACTTTATTATCAATCATTAAAAGAGATTATTTGTAAATAAAAGAAGTTGAGTAATGAATTAAGATAGAGTCTTATGCAAAATATAACTCTGATACTAAACTTCATATAAGAAATTATTAAATCATCAAAATTTATTAAAGTCATATATAGATCCTGATTATATATTAACTGATAGCATTAACTTTTCCAAGAATATTAAATTTAGTGAGATTGAGATTGTTAATACAAAAATTGTTAATTTAAATATCATTTTAATGAATTTAAGATAGATTAATAAAATAGATGTAAATAATGCATTCTCTCATTTAAGGGAATTTTATTTTCTATACAAATTTAAATTACTATTAAGAAGAAGTTAAGATGGATTTACTTCTAATATATTTTACAAGTTTTGTGATAATAACCTATGACTGTTACTTTTTTAAAATAAAAGGAATGAAGAAATTATTAATGAATATAATCCTATAATATATAAATCTAATGATAGTTTCATATTTTTTTTTAAAATCAAAAATAGCCTTATTAAAGATACAATTTTACGTAAAGTTAAATGCAATATATATTATATTAACTTAAACTATATTTTAATCATATCTTAAAGGTAAATTAATAAGTTATAGTTAATTCTGTAACAATAATTATTAAGTAAAGATAATAAAAAATTTTCAATTAATGATTATAAAGTATTTCAAATAATAAAGAAATAAAATTAATGCTTATCATTTTAAACTAGAACATTTATAATAAATATATATCATAAATTTATTTTTCATATGATAGAAATTTTGACATAATTAATTTATAGCTATTTAACAATTTTAACTTAGTCATATATATATTAATGTTAATTAATTTTTTTTATTACATTAAAAGAAGATCATGAACTTTTAATTTATTAGTTATAAGTATAATATTTTTAATACAAAATAGAAGTTTTTAGCAAAATTAATGAGTTGAAATGGCTTTAATTCTAAATTCTATGATTTTAAAA